AGCGATAGAGGCGATTGAGATTCTCCTGAGTGTAGATCGAATAAAGTGGTCTAGTCCGCCCGTATTAGTTGGTATTGTGATGACACATCGTTCGTATACCTGCTTCGCTGAGCAACACATTAACGGTTGTGTAGTCCACACTTAAACGTAAAATGTTATTTGCGGCAGCTTTGCTGCTAGATTTGCATTGACGAAGGAAGTTACTACTGCTTTTCAGTGGCACGTTTGTGTTCGTCAGTGTATTACAATGAGTATACCGCTGGTAGTTCGAGCTTTTACTGAGTTAGTGAAACACACAGTGGCTGTACCAATCGCGTAAGCCCACTACAATCACGTTTCAATATTTTAAATTCATAATAGAATACTCATATCTCCTCATTCATGTGGATTGATCAGATAAGAATATTTAGGCACATATGTAAACATATGTAAATACCAATATCATCAAATTAAGGTATCATTCGCGCACTATGGTCCTCAAGATATCACTTGTCATATTACAATCAAAACGTAAATGCCTTCGTAACTATAGTCGCCATATGCTGTATTTTCATTCACTTGCTTGTCAATTAGAGTCTCAATCCTGACAACACTTCCCATCTTAAGAGAGTAGTTTATCACAAAACATTCATGTCTGCACTCACGTGACCCCGGTAGATGCCATTCTCATGTTACATCGTATTATGTTATCCTCAACGTTTACGCTGATGTAGGCGATTTCAAGCATACGTTTACGTTCATGATTATGATTGTCATTCCGGTCGTGTAACTGGCACTCTCCGACACCGAAGCGATCACACATCCCATACCTATTTGCTTAACTTACTACAATTATGCGGATTGCTGCCCTCACACTGCCAAAATCAAACAGAGCGCATCAGAACAAACTATATTCCTAGCTTTAATTGCTGTACTAAATTACTATTACGCTTCAGTTGAAGTCTCGGATCTGACAGTGTACACTTCCGAATCACAGGATTTGATTTGATGGGATCATTTAACGCCTACAATCGATGAACACACTGAGGTACCACAATCGAATAATGCACTAAGGCGCCCTTGAAGCTCATCCCTCGTTCCACCAAAACTTTTCTTGCAATTTTTACGCGGATGTCAGCGAGCTAGACACCACCCAATACATTCACGTACTGCTCCCCGTGGCATGCTTGCTTTGAGGTCAATATCAGCAAAGGGGCGCTCACCATCAACTGCAACAATCATGGTACTACCAGCGATTACTATCACTGCACACCATAGTATACACAGTAGCCTATTCCAAGCACCGAGCCTGCATCCATCCGCACTCGTGTGCAATCAAGACAATTACTGGTGCGCATTACAGAGCAAGTTTATAGCCGTTAATAATTGCCATTTGATGACAGTCCACGTGACCACTTGTTGCGTTAATACGTACTCTGGTCTGAAGTTTCAACCCTAACCGCATGTGAGCGCGCATATTCACCGAGTATGTATGATGGAACGGAGTCGCAATGATATGCTTCTAGACGCGCGAATAAGCCTTTGTGCGTTTTGCCTCCAGCTCTAGCGTATTGTGTGACTATTGGTAGATGAAAGAGTTCAGTAGCTCGCCTATAAACAAACGTCAAGCACGCAGCCAGTCCGACTCATGTAAAGCGCACGAGCCCACTCGTATATTCTTCAGCGTAGCAGACACTCCGTCATGCCGCATAGTGCGAGCACATCACTCCATTTAGACACTTATAGGTTCCGTTTCGTCTGCTATCCTCAGCCTGGTGGAGGACACAGGTGTGGCCATGGCTGTATGCGAGGTTACACTATTCTGCGCGTCTGTATGGGCGTTTGCCTGACCACTCGGCGCAGAATGGTCCGCTGACTGTTGGCCCAAACTCTTCTCCAACTTCGTACTCTCTGCCATGCTCTTGATCTCGTTCTTTTTACACACCGGGTGGAAGCGATGGTTCGCAGCCCACAAGAACGCCATGATGAAGCTGAGAGAGTGACTGGATGCAACAAAGAGTGCATACGTCAGGGCCCACGCCAGCTTATCCAGCCCGTGCGTATCACCGCCTAATACTAGCCCGAGTATCAGCAAAAGGGGAAAGGTGAACAGCACAAAAGTATAGCCAATGAGGACTAACATGGTGTACCACTTCTGTGGATTGAGAATGGTGGGTATGGCCCTACTCACCCACGAAGCACGCATGGACGACTCGTGTATAGGGATTAGATGGGTGGTAGTACGTGATTGTCTGCGCATCACAAATGGAATGAAGATGAATGGGATAAACCCACCAGTGATAGTAGCCACCAGCACTTGCCCCAGCACATCGTACGAGAAGAAATACACTTGATCCGTCCGCACCTTGAGCAGATACGTCACAATGAATGAAATAACGTATATGATTATGAATATCAATGTAGTGCGCATGTACAGCCATTTGCTACGCAGGTAGAACGGGACTGTAGCGTAGCAGTAGGAGTCTGTCTGACCGCATCGTGGGCATGCGGGGTGCAAGTGTTTGCCGCCCACCACCACCGACTTGTTGACGTGGTACACATCATCTGCTGCGTCGTGTGCGTTGTTATTGCTTGTTACAGTACCACTGACACACCCGTCGTCCAAGTGGGTTACGGGCAGCGTGGTTGGTTGCACGAACACATCTCTGGCCACCAACTCATGCTTCTTCCGTGAATCCTCGTTATTCATGGTTAACAAAAAATGCAAGTGTCTGGAGACCAATCTGTGAGCTCTATCGGAGTACTTACACAACGCACTCGATCAACAAGCGATTGCATGTGAGCATGAAAAGTCGTGCTCAAACCACAAGGTAGGATATGTATTTATATACCTTTTTGACAACAAAAAGTATGCAGTAAATACAGCCATATATTATATATATACAAAACAGCAAAGCGCCAAAAGGCACGGGCCCACAGCCACTTGTTGCGATAAAATATTTGCACATTTTCCGATCTTCGTATATACAACATCCCGTACACTCCCCGAGCCCCATAGATATTTTCAATATGGGTATCAAAATAGTAAATTAAATAAATCCACCAAGTGACCAAAGTACATTGTTCATTTCGAAGAAGGCTATGAAAGCATACAGGGACTTCTCGAACACTACGTAGTCACGCTCTCAGTGTTTATGTTTCCATACTTGCGGTGGGGTAGCCACGTGTGGTTGTACACACATTCGATTATGTATCAAGTCATACTACCAACCAACGCAAACTGTTTTATAAAGGCTGTATAGTGTCCCCACGTTGTTACGTATCATAGAACGTCTAAACATCGATTGCACGACTTTAAATATGTTCTAATACGTTACACACATACACATACACACACACACAC